TCCTACGTATATCTGACTAAAATTACTGCTGTCCTGCTAGCTCAAAAAAAAATGTTTCAGAAAGAGCAATATATGAAATATATGGAACACAATGACAAATTTTCCAGGCACATTACACTGATTACTGTAGTGTGGTATTGATTGATTAATACAAAATTGTATTGATTTCACAGGCAAGGAGCACACATGTAGAATTCAGTTTTCTGGAACTTCTGTCTCATGGCAGAATTTGATTTGAATTTCTGGACATGGGTAAGAGTATTGTAAGAATTCTTCAAGCTAAAGAAGAACTAGATATGCTTAGCAAATTTTTTTATAATAACAAATACCTACAGGAATATCTGTGAGCTAGGTGACACTAGTCTAAGGTCTTACCATGCAATATCCTATTTATCCTTTAATCAAAGCTATGATGCAGACATTATTATATTCAATTATAGAGAAGAAAGCTGAGGCTTAAAATGGTAAATTTTGCATAGTAACTCAATACCTGATGCCAAAATCCAAGTCATGCTGATACTTATTTATATGCAACTAGACTAGAAATGTTCAATATAATAACCCTGGTAACATTAAAATTAAATAAAATTTACAACCCACATTAGCTACAGAATATAGCCTCCATGAATTGTAGGTAAAGCTCCTGAATTTATACAGGCATTATTAAAAGGGATAGCAGAACCCATTCCACTACCCCGCTCAATGACTTACCACTGAGTGCCCTCTGAGACTAGGAAACACTATCATAGCATGCTGATACTAGGTCCTCTGAAGCCCTCTCTAGGACTTGGTGTTGACTCTGTTCTTCACCTATGGAGAGAAGCACCTGCACTGAGTGGTCCTCAATGGCTTTTCCATTTTCAAGGTATATAGTTTTGTAAGAGAGTTGCATCCAAGAGGAGTGATAACAGTAATGGAGAAAATAGAAGGCAAAAATCAAAGGAAACCACCTGCATCTCAACTATATTTGATCATTTCAAACCCTTGGAATGTGCAGGTTAGAGGGAAATGAAGGCGGAGTTTGGGGCGTTTCACATATGTGAAAAATGCCTAGGTGGAAATCATTTCCTGACCTTATTCTAGCTCTTGGCTCCAGCATTCTGCAGATCCACCTCAAACATTTATTTCATTCAAAGTGTTACTTGTGTCCTACACTGATGCTCTTTCTGTTCTGCAGAAGCAGCGAGAAAGAACTATGTGTCATCTACCCCGAGCTTCTCTGGATATGCCTCTGTCCATACTGGAATGAAAGAAACAAACAGTAAACAACTGGGTGAAACCATGCTCCTTGTCCGTCTGCTGTGTCAAGGCTGGTTGCCAGACATTCTTAGTAGTTTGCTAGTTGGCCACTGGGGGGCACTATGGAAGCAATATAGCCCAGGTTATTTGCAGTTTTGATAGCCTTCCTACTGACTCAAGCAGAAAAGGTTCATATGCTTTTGAGGTGGTGGCAGGCCTTTAATCCCAGCACATGGGAGGCAGAGGCAGTGAGTGAGTCCCAGTACAGGGCTACAAAGAGAACCTCTGTCTCACAAAACTAAAATGAAAAACTATCTTTTGAAACAAAAATAGGCTCCTGTAGTGTGACAGAATTATAAGACAGAATTTATAATCCAATGAAGTCATAACAATATGAAGCCAAATGAAACATTAAAATATTTATAAAATTGTGAAAAAATATATACATAGTCATATGACACTTCAAGCATCTTTCTGTCATGGACTCATCTAACATATGGAAAGGTAAGTAGGACTGTATACATCAGCTATTAAAAAAACTGACTCTGTGATGGTTGGTATTGATAGCTTGACTGGAATTACCTAGAAAACACATTTCTGGTTGTATCTATGAGTATGTTTCTAGAAAGGATTAACTGAGAAGAGAAGACCCACCCTGAATGTGGGCACCACCATTCTACAGACTGGGGACTTGGACTGAATGAAAAGGAGAAAGGGAGCTGAAACCAGCATTCAGCTCTCTACTTCCTGGATGCAAATGTAACGCGACCAACAACCTCACACTCCTCACACACCATGGTAGGCTGCATTCCTTCAAACTATCAACAAAAGCAAACCCTTCTTTAAGTTGCCTTTGTCAGATTTTGTCACAGCAACAAGAAAAGCTACTAGCAAACATTCCCATATTCCCACAACAGCTGGCTTTATCATAACAAATAGGGCTCCAGTCCCCGATTCTTTTCTCTTTTAACCCCAGCTGCCTCCCACTCTTCTTTGATACATCCCACCTTTGGATCTAAGGAATGAAAAGCAACCCTTTGTATCTGATAACAGTTGCTGTACTAGCCCTGTCTTGCTTACTACTCATTTTGTGCTTCTTTTAGGAGCATGACCAAACTCTGACATCTTCACACACCCTGCTTTGGAAACTGAGGTTGTAGCAGACTGAAAACTAGCATGTTTTAAACTCTCCTTGAAGTATCTCTCCTCTCTCTGACCAAGAAACATGTGGACAGAAGTTCCAGTCTTACATAGTTGCTACTACTGAAATTACTAACATTCTCTGGAAAAGAATTTTAAATAAAGGAAAAGCAATGCTCATCCTCCCTACCATGTGCCTCCCCTTCGATAACAGACTACAAAGTTGCATGTCTTTATTTTCAATCAAATTCTTGACTTCTGACATCTATTTGTAAATATATTAAAACTCTTTTGGTTGAGGGTAAGCACAATTTGAAATTTACAATCTCTCATGCAACTCTGCTCAGGAACTACGCGCTTAGAAGTAACAACTTTTTTTTTTGTTGTTTTTTGTTTTTTGAGACAGGGTTTCTTGTGTTGCTTTGGAACCTGTTCTGGAACTATTCTTGTAGACCAGGCTGGCCTTGAACTCACAGAGATCTGCCTGCCTCTGCCTCCCAAGTGCTGGGATTAAAGATGTGTGCCACCATCACCCAGCAGAAGTAACATGTTTAACAATAATTATCATAACAATTTGTTTTAGAAAGAAAGTTGACTGTTAAAAATATTTTAAAGGAAATATAATCACCATCATCATCCATTTAAGCTAAGGACTATATTTAAATAAGTACTATTTGGGGATGTTCTCCAAAATAACTACTTATAAAATACTCTCATAATTTTGTGTACTTTTCACTAAATGTTCATGTGCTTGGAAGAACAAAAATGAAATTATTTTTTAAAATGCATTTTTTATAAGTCTCATATTATCTTCAAAGAATTTACAACTTTCTATATGCTTAAGAAAATAAAAATACAAAGGTGGGTGTGTTCATATACATCTGTAATCTCAGTGCTTGAGATGTAGGAAGGAGGAGCATAAATTTGAGTCTAGTCTCAGCTACAAATTGGAGGAGAAAATGTGGATCTCAGGAAAGAAAAAAGCAAATACTCACTTCCTGCTGACAGCCACAAGCCTCTGGTTTCACACTCAGAGTTTGAGAAAAACAAGTAGCACCTTTTGTTAGCCAGACACTTTAATCCTTTGAATGATTCTCATCCTTTTGTTTTTCCCCTTAATCTTCACTGTGAAGATCTTAACTGCTCCAAAATTCAAAACAATATCATAAATAACAACTGCAAACACAACAAAAAAAAATCCCAAACCTCTCTGCAACGGATAAATTTAGCATTGTTTGTGTGGAGAAGCCATCTGTAAAGAGTAACTGAAGCCTTCACTCTTAGCCTGGAACACAGAAGGTGGTAATTACACTTTCTTGACTTCTGAAGCTCACAGCAAATTGTTTCTCTCAGATTTGCTGATTGCTAGGTAAATAGAGAAAATTGATGCTTTTCCCTCATATCTTAGGGCCTCTGCTTAAAGTTGTAAAGCTCTGGGTTCAAATTATATAAGCAACCCTTAGCTGAATCCACAGGAATATGTATTATTTCTAGACTTTAGGCTCATGATTCATAAGCTCCCTGCTTTACCCTAAGATTCAAAGCTGATATGGCAAAATTTGGGTCTGAAGGGCAGGTACAAAATACCAGCTGAGGCTACAGGCTTTAAAACAAGACTACTCTCTTAGGCCAAACTCTTTACTGTACTCTTGTATTTGTTGTTTATTCTATGGTTATTCCAAACTACTTGAGTCTAGAGGTTCTCGTTCACCTCTACCTCCAATTTACCCAAAATTCTGCTGACCCTAGGTCCTATATGACAAAGTGGTGCTTCCCCACTGTCTAGCCAAGGTGGCCTAATCTCACTCTGAACTTATTGCTGCTGATCTGCTTTCCCTGAATGCTCACCAAAGCCATGAAATAAGCATTGTACAAACCTGTCCATGTGCTTCCACTCTGCTATAACTTTGAAGGAGCAAAGCTGACATGGTGCGTTGTTATCCAGCCATGACTCTCTCTCCATGGCCTTTCCAAATAGTCACAGGTCTGCCTTTGTTTTGCTAGTGTAGTCTTGCCACCCAAAGAATGACTTCCCTCCCTCTCATTTACTAACATATGATCCAGTTCAAATCCCTTCTTATAAAAAGATTTGTTCCCACCCCTCCCAGGCCACAGAGCATTTACCCGATCATACAAGTCTATGGAACTAATTCATAGAGCTCAGTTATTTATTTTCTAACTAATCACACTCTCATCTTTTCTTCTCAGGGCAAGACAAAGATCTATTTTAAATACACTTATAGCCTGAATTTTGCCTTGTTTAGGGAAAAAGACTGTATAAGGCATTCTTCCTGATTGATGTTATTTCTGCTCAGATAGTCAAGCTTAAAAATCTCCAAATTCTTGGGATTTTTTATAGTGACTTTTTGTGGCTAAAAAAGAGTTTTCCATAACTGGAGGTGAGTGGAAATAAGGCCAGGGATCACTATCTCACTGATACAGTCTCATTTGGCTTTCTAAAACCAATAGGCTTTAAAAGACCCTATCTAGCTAAAATAAATATCCAAACATGCATGCAACTTAGGCCCTCTACAATATTAACTTCTTTTTTTAAAAAAAAAAAAACATTTCTACTCCCAAGCTACATACAAAACTAAGTGATATACAAAACTTAGCCCAGGTCATAAACCAGTAGAAACATCCTGCTCCCCTGTGGATCGGGTATAGGCTGAATTTATACGATCAAGATTGCCTTGCTGGAAGATTGGACAGTGCCTGCAAAAACGTTTAACAATGTGTTTTTGAAAGAACACCGAGAGATAATTCCGGAACTTCTCTCCAACAAAGGCATAGATGACAGGGTTGATGCAGCAGTGTGTCATTCCAAGAGTCTCTGTCACCTGCATGGCCTGGTCTAGTCTATTAGAACTACTGCAATTATTCAGTCCAAAGAATTCCTGGAAGTTGTACAGAAGAAGGACAATGTTGTAGGGAGTCCAGAAAATAAAGTAGATAATCATAATGGCAAAGATGAGCCTCACAGCCTTGTGCCTCTTCTTCTCATTTCTACAGTGAAACAGGGTTTGGAGAATTCCTGAGTAGCAGATGACCATGACAAGTAGGGGCAGGACCAGACTCAAGATGACCATCTTTAATGTTTGGAAACTCTTCCAGAAATGATATTGGCTGTGTGGAAAATGAGGACTACACGTAGAATGAAGACCTTCTTTTTGAGATTTGATGAAGATTGTTTCTGGGAGTGAAGTAAACACAGCCACCACCCAAGTGACTCCACTTGTAATCACCCCAAAGGTGACTGTCCTGGCTTTCAGAGCAAACACAGCATGGACAATAGCCAAGTATCGATCAATTGTCAGGAGGATAATGAAGAAGATTCCACCAAAATAACCAATGTGATAGAGTCCTGTGAGTAATTTACACATTTTATTCCCAAAGACCCACTCATTTGCAGCATAGTGAGCCCAGAATGGGAGAGTGAGCAGGAAGAGCAAGTCAGAGATGGCCAGGTTGAACAGGTAGATGTCAGTCATGCTCTTCAGCTTCTTGAAGTTTATCAGGATGAGGAAGACCAACATGTTCCCCACAAAACCAAAGATGAATACCAGAGAGTAGAGTGGGGGCAGGAGCTGGGCTGCAACTTGTTTCACATTTGTTTTTTGGCAGAGTGTTGCCCCACCATAATCATCATAGAGATAGGTCGTACTTGATACTTGCAAATCCATTTTGCAAGAATCTATGAACACAGAAAAGACAATGCTTAATGAAGTTAAAAGCTGTTATTCGTCTACCACAATTACAAATGGTTTTATAATTTAGTAGGTCTTTGAGGCATAGATTTCTACATTTAATTTTCCCCTTGTATGAGCTAAAATTCATGAAAGATGCATTTCATCAAATAAAATATTGCTTTATCTATCAGTTTGGGGTAAATTAATCTGTGAAACTGAGCTAGGCACTGTGCACAGGTTTAAGACCTCTATTGAAGATTCTATTTCTAGGCATTTGCCCACAAATAGTAGGTGCTGCACAAATGCCAACAAGAATGAACACTGAATTCTAATCACCATTCTAAGTGTCTTACCTACTCATTCATTAAATACTTAAGGTAACTGTTTGAGGCAGGTAATATCGTTCATATTTTTCTAGATAAAATGGCCCCAAGTACAGAGAGAATGAATAAGTCAACACAAAACCATACCACACTGATTTTGAATTCAGGAATCATGAACCCTTAACTGACATGTTGCCTGTTGCTTCTTGGTAATTAACACACTTTTAGTAACATGTTGCCTCTCTGTAGTCAAGATAAAATGGGCTGATGTCCAAGTACTTCCACAGTGCCATAGAATCTTTTATTGGTTATTAAAGTGGGCCATCTTCATCTCTTCTATGAAGTTATCTCTGCTTCCTAAGTTGCTGCCACCAAAAGTTCTCATATAAGCAGAAGAAATGGTCAGATATAAAATGTTTCCTCCATCTCCATGCATGAATATCTTACAGGCTAAATAGTCCTGTGTTCAGCCTCTGACCACAGACTTGTCCTGTCTAAGTTCTACTGCTGTACTTGAGAATTTTCTCTACTTGATCCTCAAACCTCTAAACTTAGACAGTTGAGAGAAACACCCAGAAAATCTCACCTTCAGGTGCTGAGCCAGAACAAAAATCCTCTGTAAGTAACTTAGATATTTGTAATTTGATATGAACTTAGACAATTTTTAGTTTCCCCCTCTTTTCTGGGAGACAGGTGGGGCAGGGGAAGAAAGAGAGCACAAGAGACTTAGAGCTTCTGACACACCCATGCTCCAGATGACCCACAGAGAGGTTTCATCTCTTCTCAGATGAAGATAATGATTATCAAACCAGTTTTCAGCCAGTATCATTGCTGTAGAAGCTATTTTAAGAGGTAAAAACTCTGCTTTAAAAAAAAAAACTATTGTCTCTTTTAAATACTTCATTCACAATTATGTTTTATATACTGGATGACATCACATACGGAAACATATCCTAAATTCTTACCCTTTCTGTATCTTAAAGATTATATTTTCAGATAATCCAGTGAGCACCTGGTGCTGACAGATGTCCGCTCAGGATTTCCTGTTGAAGTTTTTACTCATCATAGAGGCTGAGCTAAACTAACCTCCCAAGGGTTAAGAGGTGACTTACCAGAGTTTCTTGTTGGGGGAACGGATGTCTCAGCTCCTCTGGCTATGAGTGTTGTACAAATCAAACATATAGACAGTATAAAGTACGAAACAAGATTTCTTTCAAGGGGGGTGGAGTTTTATGAGAACGGGTATTACGTAGTGTCTCAGGGTGGAGGGGTGTTGGATCAGTTCTTCTTTTTTCATTAAGGTTGCATTTAAAGCAGAAAATAGAAGGCAGCTCTGGTCTGAAATTTTATTGAGTAGTTTCCCTCTTCACATTATTTTACTTATGTTCTCTGCTCAACCAACCCCACTCCACAGCCTATTAGAAATTAGAAAGAAGTTTTAAAGATAGAAGAATACTTGTATCCATTTCTCAAAGCCCACATTTGAATCAAGAGAATCACTGTTTGAGAGACAAATAATGTACACAATACCTCAGTGTCTCACTGGTAAAGCCCAAAGGGCAAGAAGATGTGCTCTCCTCACAGTTGCTCTTGGTTAAAGTAAACTCCAGCCAATCAGATTAAAATTAAAATCAGATAGAAGGTTCATTACAGAACAGAACTTTGTTCCTTCTTTTACCCATCCTCCCCTCGCTTTCCTACATTTACCGTCCAGTATGACTCTTCCGTGTAAACTAAAGCAACTGGCCAAAAAGGGTTTACATTTTCCTGGGAGCCAAGCATATTTCTTGGTTCTCTCCTATATCTGGTAACTGGTGAAACACACAATTGTACATTTTAAGTAGAAATGTGTGAGTACTCACTCTACGTCAGATTTGAAGGTAACAAAGTGCCTCACTCCAAGAACATAATTATCTGGAGACATGGAGGGTTTTTCTTGCAGCAGTGAAAAAAAGTGCATGATAAAATTCAAACTACATGATAATGCTATATGTGGCCATATCAGGTCTCCTAGGTGGTGGACGAATTTTTAAAAACATCAAGGAATGACAGCAGAGATGAAAACATAGCAAAGAGGTACCAATGAGACACAAGGGCCCCTCAACTGTAGAAACAGCAGCTTTGACTTATGACCTATAGAAAGGTAAGAAAACTTTAAACAGAAAAATTTGTTCCTAAATCAGCAAGAGGCAGCCTAGTCCATGGACCCTAGCAGGGCTTCCGCAGCTATACTGCCACACTTGACTCCCATCAACTGCCTCATATGTATGTTAGGCTGAATAACAGTAGTATGTCACGAGCTGTTAAAACAGGCTGTTGCCTTCAGTGACTCCATTTTGCTTTGTTCTTATTCCTCATTTCCGAGATTATCTACTTCAAGTTCCTGGAAATGCTGATTCTACACTTAAACTTTAATCTTGCCCTAACATAAATATTCCCACTTCCCCCATAGACTTGGAACAGGGGAGTGTTCTTCCCTCCAGGTGACTGGCATCCTCAATAAATTCCGCTTTATTTTTTTCCAATTATTGTGTCCTGGGGACTAATTTTCTATGTGGTAAGCGTCCAGATCTGAGTTTGGTAGCAATAAGGGGCACTAATAACAAATATATGGACAAACTACACACAAAGTAAACAGCAATCTCTTAGTTACTCAGTCGTCTTTTCAAAATAAACACAGTTTAAAATCTGCATTTCTTTATCATTCTCTGAGGTAGACCTCTCCAGGGCTGCTAGACAAATTTTATAATTCTGTTTGTGAATACTATTGATTCATATTGTTAGGGCTTAAGCTGTGCTGAGATAGTTTCATAGGGTAGTGGAAGATATGAGAGCTATAGCTCACCTCCAGAGGGCAGTGTGGAGAAGCTATGCAGCTCAAAAGTCACCCAGTGTGGTCTTGGCAAGCTACTTTACCTCTGAAATTCCGTTGTCTCTCCTGTTAGTGATGTGCTAGAAGATGTGTGAAAGAATGAATGTTATCAGAGACCATGCAGCCTTGGAACAGAGATAAGGCCAAGATCACAGTTTGCAATGAGAAGCCCAGCTGAGCAAGGTTTTTACCGTTTATTGAATGCCAGGTCCAGAGATGCATTCCAGTCAATTCCCAGGTAGAAGCTTGTCTCGAGGATGCACAAGGAAATGAGGGCCTATGGACTCATAGAGAAGTCTCTACTCACAAGTAAACTTTGTTCTTGTGCTATTGTTATTATTATTATTATTATTATTATTATTATTATTGTCTGGGCATAGTGGGATACATCTTTAATCTTAGCACTTGAGAGGCATAGGCAGGAGGACCTCTTTGAGTATGAGGTTAGCCTGGTCTATGTAGTGAGTCCCAGGTCAGCTAAGACTAAATAGTGAGACCTTGTCTCAAAAAAAAAAGTTTTTTATTATGAGTATATTTCTGTAACTGCAGTTTTAATTGAGGTCTTATATATTAGTTGTATAGCTTTGCCAGTTTTGATTTACATAGTTATAAAACTCCATCAAGATCTAGTAATAAGGGATATATCTTCCCTATGGCCCAGGAAGGTGTCTTTGGGTCATTTTGACCTTATTTATATAGATCAGATAGTTTTTAACATCACAAAAAGGAAATCCCAGATGCTTCCTTCCTCTGGCCTGGTGTCTTTTGCTCCACATCACAACATTAGATATGTTTTACAAAGGAGACAGGATCTGTTCTGTAATTTACTAACAGGAACAATGTTATACTAATTGTCATCGCCAATGTTCTTTTGCCTGTCAAGGAGGAAGTCTACCTTTATCAGGGTAGCCAGAGACTCCTTCCAGGTTTTACAGAAATAAAAAGCCTCTGCTTTACCACTTCTCAGTGTCACACATTTGCCTCTGTGCCTCAGCAATGATGCTTGGGTTCAATGACTCCCAGACTCTTTACTTCCTGCCTCACACTCCTTTCATGAAAACTGGAATTGGGAGACACTATTCTATTTCCCCATTTTTGTCTTTGTCCTCTAGACATTTGTAATGAAAGCATAACCCCCTCCCCAGCCTAACCATTTTGTAAACTCCATGAAAAATATCAAATCATGTAATTCTCAGAGGCTGTCTTGCTATATACTTTCATTAGATATGTCTGGGACATGACATAAACCACTTAGCTCAATTTGGAATTGTGCCTTATGTATTTGGAATCTTTATTTTAGAGCAGTGCCAAGACATGGATCTAAGGCAATCCTGGGAAAGGTAACAGAATCTAAGTACCAATTAAGGCTTATAACACACCACGATCATCTCTAGAGGTCAGATCACATCTGCAGCTCCATGTATAACAGGATATTATACAAGGCTATTCTGATCACTCTGGAACTGACAAATACAATCTAAGGCTGAGTCCAAGAAGTGTTAAGTGCTTCACCATTATAGAGGAAACCACTGACACTTGGGGTTAGACACCTTTCCTCGGCTTACTAAGAAATGACAGAACCATCCCTGTGCTGTCTCATCAACTCTTTCTAATGTCTGTAGAAGCATTAGTGGGAGGGCAAGATTAATTCATGCTCTTCCTCTCAGAGCCAGGAGGGACTCCAAGAGAGTCACATTAGAAATGGGGGTTTATAAAAGGAAAGGACAGCCAGTCAGCTCCAAAGGGGACTAAGGGGTGGAATTTGAGGTGTGTGTGTGTGTGTGTGTGTGTGTGTGTGTGTGTGTGTGTGTATGTGTATGAAGGCGTAGAGACAGGGTATGTATGAGGAAACAAAGATATCTCAATACCTCATGTTCACTAGGTTGCATGGCTACCAAACAATGTGGACAGGGTACAGTTGTATTATGGAGCCCACTATCAGAGACAGGCAACATCATCACCCAAGAAATGGTGAGTTAGAAAAAGCCCAGTTTGAAGGAGATTTTGTGTGATCTAATAGGTAGTCATGGGTGTCCTTACTAGCTCTGGATCCTCTGAAGGAAGAACACAACAGTGTTCATCTTTCTGGGCATCTTTGCCAATACAGAAGGGCCTGTAGAAGGAACCAGCTCTGTAAAGAAATGTGCATCCTTCTGGCCATATCTGCTTTCCTCATGGCTAGCCTATCCCTGGAAAGCATATACCCTGGAGGTCATCTTGAGGCAGACCACAAACAGGGCTGAGGGTGGGAGTGGAGCTGGGACAGAAAAGACGGAGCTCATACCTGCTTTAAGCACAGCCTTTCAGAATCTAATTGACTCTGAGGACCAATTGAACTTTATTCAAGAGAAAGAAAATAATTGCATATTACAAATACATTATATTAGGAGGTTTAAAAGTTGCTGTCAATGAGCCAAAACTTTACTCAGTTACCCTATGTTTGCTTATGAATTGCTGAGTTGATGTGGCACAAGATTTATGCTGGGGACAGCAGGGATACAACTCTTGATTTATATATACCCCAACACACACACACACACACTCACACACATTCACCGTACGCCACACCACACCAGAACCTTCTCAAAGTTACAGATATTATGTGTGGTGGTTTGAATAAGAATGGTTCCCCATAGGCTCATATATTTGAATGTTTGATCACCAAGGAGTGGTACTATTTGAAAAAATTAGGAGGTGTGACCTTGCTGGAGTAGGTGTGGCCTTGTTGGAGGAAGGGTGTCATGAGGGGTGGGCTTTGAGGTTTTAATAGCACAAGCCAGGCCCAGTGTCCCTCTCTTTCTGCTGCCTGTGGATCCAGATGTGGAATTAACTTCTCCTGCACTATGCCTGTATGCCACCATCTTCCCCACCGTGATGACAATGGACTGCACCTCTGAAACTGTAAGCAAACCCCAATTAAATGCTTTCCTTTTTAAGAGCTGCCATGGTCATAGTGTTTCTTCACACAATAGAACAGTAACTAAGATAATATGCCTATTATCTTAACAAATCACTTATCTTAGTGTCTATATCTTAACAAATTCTAGCCAGTATTGGTCACTTTCTGAACCTATGACTGTTCTTTTCCCACCCCATTCCTGAGCTCCCCTTGCAGAAATACTCAGTGTTCTGCATGATGAGTTTCTGTAGAGGTACCTGGGCAGTCAACCTTTCTGGATAACCTCATTTGAGGTAATTTCATTTATCAAAGAAGTTTAAATAATGGGTAAAAGCAAAAGAAAAGGTTTCCTAGAGTCCTCTGCACATACTCAGCCTCCCCAGCTGCTTTGGCCGCACAGACAAAAGGCCATTTAGGGACAGTGTCAAGCCCACTATTCTACCAAAACTGTCCAAACGCCCATCCCTTGGTATGGTAGCCTTTCTTCTCCCTCATTCTCCTTTTCCTCAGACTTTGCACTCAAAAGTTCTCCCCAGATGACTTCAGAGCTCACTTCTGGAAACACTTAACAGATAACCCCTACAAGGCAGTTTCTTCTGTGGCTACAAAATCCTACTGTATGTGTTCATACCATGCTGCATGACCACCACTGAGTAAATCCCTGCCCTCTGGATTCTCAAAAGAGTCCTATATATGCCTTCCCCCCTGTGTTCATGTGATCATATATGAGCCCTCTGCAACTCATGCCACTCTCCAGGGGATCTGCAAGGTCTGAAGGACATCAAGGACATGACAATGGACATTCGTTTTCATCTTACCCATCCAATTTGTGGACACTCAGGCTGCTTTTCACACTGCACCTCACAGCAATATATATAAAAATTATCTCCCATCTGCATTAGTCAGCGTTGTCCTTAACAAATAACCCCCTGATCCAGTGGCTTATCATAGTGAACATGGACTTCTTGCTCCTTTTCTTCATGGCTGTGGCCCTGGCTTCATTTATCTTCTCACTCACTGAGATGCATGGCTTTAGATTGCTAAATGGAGGTTCACACCAGCCATGCTGAGGCTGTAACTGGAAAAGACAGAGAGGTCTTCTGTGTTTGTCTTCTAATGGCATAGCTGCAGGATTGTGTATAGCCTGGAAGGCAGGCTGTGAGTCATTCCCCTCTACCAGGTACCAGGAATGTGGAAGTACAGGGGAAGTCGTGTGTAGTTGTGAACAAAACAGTCAACCACACTGGTGTAACAAAACATATGCTTGTTTCTTTTTAATATTTCTAGCAATATAGACAGAACATTTATTTATTTCTCAAATCATAGGATTTAAAAAATATTTACATATCATCATCACTAAAATGAAACTATTAGGATATCTGAAGGTGATACTCTCATTCCCCACTTCTTTGAGAAACCTTTTTTCATCATGTGATAACAAAGCCAAACCACAAAGCTTCCAGTTTCCAGGCTGTCTGTTTCTTTGTTTGCTTCTCTATCAGATGAGAAAAACAATATGGGATAGGGAAAAGCATTCTTGGTTCATTTAGGGGAGATATTTATCATATGAGAAGGAGTTCATCTAACTCTTCTCCTTTGTAAATTAAGTTGTTAAAATTTTGATGAGAACTGACTTGACTGGGGAGCTCCTACTCACCGGCAGGACAATCTATCATCATTAGCACATCCAGGAAGAACAATACAAAGGAGTTTGGGGAAAACAAGGCTGAGAGAACAAGAGCACTGCTGACAGCCTCTGTGTAGCATATGCTGGGTTCCCGATGGCTTAGACTCTATATAACCGTAACTGGGTAAGTCCACAGATCACAGACTCAAGGCCCTGCCTATCCAGAGTTGTTAGGTCAGCTCTTATACTCATTGCCGGAATTTTCTCTACAACAAATGCAATACATTCAAGGCTAGCAAGGTAAGAACTCTTACAAAGGTATTTCGTCGCATTTAAAAGTTAAAGTTTCCAGTCTTGAGTTTATTTTTTTCTATTTTTGATTTTTTTAAAAAATCTTTGAATAGCATTTGTATCCAAAAATAAGGCACTAGAAGATAGTCTATGACACATTTCTTCTCACTTTATCTATAATCTCTTTTTATATAGGCTTATCCTGCCTGGTAATTAAGATATGTTCCTAGGGTAGGAGTATAAATCCAAAACAAGGGCTTCTGTTCCTGTGGTATCCATCCCTTTCTTTAGCCACAAAACATACCCAGTGCTTTTTCTCTCCTGGGACTGTCCAGGAGCTCATGCTCGGCTGTTTCAAATACACTTTTCTCTGGTCCACTGATGTTTGAAGTATGGAAGTTAGAAAATAAAGACCATGGGGAGATGAAGCATATTTTATAAACAATAATTTTATAAATATTATTTAAGAAGTTGTGGCTTGAGAAACACGTAAGCAATGGAGTGTGATATTGAAAAGTTTTTCCATGTTTTCATAGTAAAAATAACAAAGTAAAAATGTGCGATGCAGTTATGCATAAAAGAATCGGGGGACTCAAATCAAGTTCCCAGCAAACTATTACAGTTCCCAGACTTTCCTCAACCTGATAATGCCTTCACCATTAAATACAGGTGGGAGATGGAGCCAAAGACCAGGACATTTCTTTCCAAATGAAAAGGGCTCCTGCTCCCTTTCATCTCCATCCAGAATCAACAATGCTTGTCTCATCTTTCTGATCCTCACACCCTTCTTCCTATTCATTCCAAGCTCATCTTGTTAGAAGCAGGGAGAAACAGAGTCAAGACTGGCAAAATAGTATTACCACAAGAAAATAAGGCTCTTCCTAGATGAAGAGAAGACTTCACTGGAAAGCTGAAGATTCTACCAACATTTATTCTAGAATGTTTCCTGAGAATGTATTATATGTACAAGAAGTGAAGTAGTTCTGTCTTGGCATAACCCTAAAGTTCCTGGACACCTATTCTTCAATGTATCTTTGAGCAGTGGTTCTCAACCTTGTTAATGCTGTGACTCTTTAATACAGTTCCTCATGTTGTGGTGATCCCCACCCATAAATTTTTTTGCTACTTCATAACTGTAATTTTGTTACTGTTATAAATTGTAATGTAAATATCTGCATTTTCTGATGGTCTTAGGCAACCCCTCTGAAAGGACCTTCCAGGCCTCCAAGGGGTTGAGACCCAAAGGTGTGAGATTCACTGACTTTGAAGCTTGTTACCATATACAAACTGTTCCTTGTACCCTGATTAGAAAAAAAAAAAGAAAAAAATAAAGCAAACCGCCCCCTTGCTTTACAACCCAACTGAGACTTCTTGTTCCCCAGTGGAAGGGGTGTATGTTGAGCTCACTCGATCCACTGTCTCTCTGTAGAAAACTGGGCACTGTTTGCAGAGACGTTTAGCAATGTGCTTTCTGAAGAATATGGAGAGATACCTTCGGAACTTCTCCCCAACAAAGGCATAGATGACAGGGTTGATACAGCAATGTGTCATTCCAAGAGTCTCTGTCACCTGCATGGCCTGGTCTAAGTGATTGGAAATCATACAGGTACTCAGTCCCAAGAATTCCTGGAAGGTGTTCAGGAAGACAACAATGTTGTAGGGAGTCCAGAAGATAAAGTAGACAATCATGATGGCAAAGATGAGCCTCACAGCCCTGTGCCTCTTCTTCTCATTTCTACAACGAAACAGGGTATGGAGGATTCCTGAGTAGCAGATGACCATGACAAGTAGGGGCAGGATCAGACTCAAGATATTCCTCATTATTGCATGGAAATTCTTCCATACTGATGGAAAATAAGGACCACAGACTTTATGACTATCTTCTTCTTTGAATTTAGTAAATATGATTCCTGGGAGAGAGGCTAGCATAGCTACCACCCAAGTGACTCCACTTGTAATCACCCCAAAGGTGACTGTCCTGGCTTTCAGAGCAAACACAGCATGGACAATTGCCAAGTATCGATCAATTGTCAGGAGGATAATGAAGAAGATTCCACCAAAATAACCAATGTGATAAAGTCCGGTGAGTAATTTACACATTATATTTCCAAAGACCCACTCATTTGCAGCATAGTGAGCCCAGAATGGGAGAGTGAACAGGAAGAGCAGGTCAGAGATAGCCAAGTTGAACAGGTAGATGTCAGTCATGCTCTTCAGCTTCTTGCAGCTTATCAAAATGAGAATGACCAACATGTTCCCCACAAAACCAAAGATGAATACCAGAGAGTAGAGTGGGGGCAGGATCCTGGCACCCATCTGCTTCACGTTGTATTTATGACATGGCTCACCATTGTCATAGTCATAAGGTGTGGTGACATCTTCATCAAGTCCTTGGATACTTCTTGGAAACAGAGAATGAGATGTTGATAGTATGCTATGAATGATCTGAGGTAACATATCACTGTCTTCCATTTCCCTTGTTTCTGGGGACAGAGAACAAAATGATTACCTGTAACACAAATGTCAAATTCCCTAATCCAAATAGGCTTGCCTATTTTTTTACTCAAAAAGCATCCCAGTCTTTAGTTTCACCCTTATAGTCATCTCCTTGACACCATGTGCATATCACGTTCCTCTTATTCCTCATAGCAGACACACTTTGTCAACTCTGCAACCATTTGCTTAATACCCTTGATATTCCCTAGTGAGCATGTTACTCATTGTAAGGCTACAAATGATGAATGTCTGCATTTACTACCTCCTCTGCATGTGGCAAACAGGAATATGACCCATCACTAGTGATAAGATGCAATTAGAGTCTGCTAGGAGGTTTCTGTGGAGGTTCTTACCCAATAAAAGAGACACAAAAGAAACACTGTTGACTTTAACTTATATAGCATAAGCGTGGTGCTTAGATCTATAAACAAAAGACCTAGATATTGTACAGAAACCTTAAAGGGGGCTCACTTTCTGAATTCTTATTTGAGAAAGAAAATAACCCATTGTAAATTGTAACATCTATCCTTGCAGCCTAAAGCATTCTAACAACCCTCTCAACTCCTGCCTCCACATCCTCCCACACTTCTTTTGACAAGGTGCAATGGCAGCCCAATGTTCAAATGCTTTATCTAATTCTCATTGAGCATTAATTTCTCTATTCAAAACCCCTTTGAAGGCTGGAGATGACTTAGCACTCACTGTTCTTTCAGAGAACTCAAGTTGGTTTCCTGCACCCTCAACAGGGAGCTGTTAAAAACCTGTGATTCTAGTTCTAGGAGATCTATCACCTTCTGATATCCATGGGTACCTCTACATACTTAAGTCACATAAACTGAAGTACGCTCACATGCTTACACAAAACAAATAGACAGATAAATCTTTTTAAAACAGAGAAAAGAAAAGAAAAACTTCTTTTTAAGCTTCTAGGACGATATTCCTACCTGACTACTCATCAACATTTTTTGTGACATCTCATTGCCTACTCCATGAAAGCTCTCAGGGCACTATACTTGGCTTTTGCTCCCTTTTACCATTTGTCTCTTTATTCTTACTCCAAAATTCTTCAATTCAGATTAGCTAAATTAAGTCAGCTAATCTCAGGATTTTGATTCTCCTTCATGCTAAAGTTTTCCAAGGCTCTGTATTTAAGTTCCACCTTCTCCAAAACCTCAGTTTAATTTTTCACTATCTATAGTATCTCTTCATGAATTTGCCCACACATTTGTTTAGCATCTACTATGACTTATACATGAGGGGACACAGACATACACTGCTATACATGTTTGGAGGTCAGAGGACATTCTGTACTTTCCCTCCTATAAAAACTACAGGGATTTGAATTCAGGTTATTAGGTTTGTACAGCAAGTACTTTGACACAAGAACTATCTAGCTGACCAAATTGTGAGGTCTTTATCTTAGTTATTATCATTTATTACATTGTGTAAGAATCTAACTCTGGCATTACTCCAAATCATTCCTCTTAAGAAAATTAAGAATTGTCCTTCAGAACCAAATAGATTGGATTCAAATCTGATAGATGACCCAGCAGGTAAGAGCACCTACTGTTCTTGCAGATGATTCAAGTTCAGTCCCTAGCACCCATGACAGATCCAATGCCTTCCTCTGGTCATGGCAGGTTGCTGTTTCACAAACACAGACACACACACACATAAAAATTAATCTCAAAAATTAAAAAATTCTGCCTCTAACATAAAGGCTCTATAATTTAAAGTCAAGTATCTGTTTTCCTGTATAGAAACACCAGAGATGAGGACTTAGTACAGCTTGTGCTACAGATAAATAATCCGTGTTAGTATTATAGCATATGAATTCTATCCTATATACTTGTCAAATTCATCCTCTCTGCCCTCTATAAACTGTTGGTTTCTTGTACCATCCACCACTCACTTCATATTGACCTTTTCTTCACTTGTATATAGGTCATCACTCTCATTCTGTCTGCTCTAACAATTAACATTGCATATGCTCTCCTCAGCCTGAAACCCCAGTAGCCACATGACTTGGATGTGGTGGGACTTCATAGTGGTTGATCTGCTCACTAGGGAAACTTGCTTCTCAGTTTCATCTCCAGTCATTTGTCACATTCCCAGTCCTGTGAACAGCTACAACCAGCTTCTCTCCATTTCCTCCAAGCTCACCATTTCCTTCATGCCTTGGTGAGTCACTATATGTGTCCCTAAAATGGCTTCTATTTATCCTATCTCCTACTCAAATGCCCCTTCTCTTGTGAAGCCTAACTTTCACCTTCTGACAAATCACTCTAGTCTTGTGAAATCTAAGTAAGCATGTATGCTATCATTTGCAAACTGTACATCCTTCTGAGGTTAAGGAGTGGCAGTGTTTTTAATCTTTAACTCTTACAATTTCATCTGGCTAAAAGAGTTAACAGTAAATGCTCAATGAATGAGTACACAAAAGTCTATAATAGTTATAAAATTATAAGATGTAACACCATTAAATCCTGATTGTTAAGAATACATTTTCCTGATATTGAAAATAAATTTGTTTTTACCCACCTATATAGTACAGCATTTTCCATCCCTTCAGTGATGGTCACATTTTACAAGCTTGTATTTCACATCACTGAGCCATATCACTAGACTGCAAAAGCTAAATGAGATCTCTGATGAAAGTCAAGAAAAAATGTGCGTGCCTGAATAATCACACTACAGTAAGTTCTGGTCTGTTCCTGAAGTTTCAGCTGTTATGGAAAATTCTAGACAATTCATATAATCCTATGACACATAGCCAGCATCTAGTTCCTACTTTATCAAACAACCAACAAAGTAACTGAAAGGGACTCCTGTTTATCACTTTGGGCATCAGAACCTAGCACCCAGGGCTGTAGGGAAGGTGCCTCTCAGAAGAGAGAGAGAGAGAGAGAGAGGAGGGAGGGAGGGAGGGAGGGAGGGAGGAAGAAATATATAGAGAAATTACTTTTCAGCCTGTGTAACCCTCATGAGAAGAGATAAAAGGCATATTTAAAAGTTTAAAAAGAATATTTTGGTTCTGAACTTGAACTATTCCATATATGGACTAGAGGAGAAAGATTTCATGATATAAAGTTCTAGAAAGTGCAATCCTCTGCATGCTAAGAGGAACAGAGTAAGCCCGTGGGTGCCTAGAAGATGACCAAGCAGAGTGCTTTTCCTCCCTGTGTCCCCTTTCATCACCTGATCCCAAAAGGATGGTCTCATCCAGCAACACCCTCATTTCCTTACTGCCACCAGGGCCATTCAAACATTTCTTAATGTATATTACACCCTCTCTTCTACCTGAATCTTGGTCATTGTCTCCACATGCATAGGCTGCACAGCCTCTCAGGCTTCTCTCTGGCACCCAGCACCTCAAGCTTGGAGGTGCTTGAGCTTAACATTCATAAAGTCATGGAAAAATCACAACTCACCAGGGATGACTTCTTGGTAGCACTGCTATCTCAGGCTTCTCAGCAACGAAAACCTCAGATCTAGAGGTAGAAACTTGGTGTGCAGAAATAGGAAATAAAGTTTCCTGCAGAGAGAGAAGGCGGAGATAGAAGGGCAAGTGATGGTAAAGATTTGTAGAAAAAAACATCAAAGATTCACAGTTCTTCTTTTCCAGCCAGGAACATTGTATACTGGGCTAAGGTCTCCACAGGATTAATTTTGAAATCTTGCTTATGCAATTTTGAGTGTGAGTCAGCCACTCCCTGTCCCCCTGCTTTAGTGTATTTCAACTCCAGGCTTCTTTGTCTCATATACCTTTCATAACTTTTTCACTCTTTGTTCTCTCTGTGTAAACTAGCATGGCCCAATAGCAATAAGACCTTTTACTCCCAGAGAATAAATGCTAATGAGGCCATTGATCATAATGGAGGGAATGAAATGAGATTTCACTGAGACTTGTGGGTTGCTTTCAGAGTATTTTGGATTAGAATCTAGTTACAAATATTACTTAGATGAATCTTTTTAATAAAGGAGAATGCTTATTAATCTTTTGTGTTAAGGATCTTCTTAGCAAGAGGATTGCTAATTATTATTGTAAGTCGTCTTCCTCTAAAAGAGGCTTTGTCTAAAACAAAATCTGCATCGGAAGCACCTACTTAGAATGTTCCTAATGTTCTGCAAACATGGACAGTTACCTGAGCTGGTCTATGGAATTCTGCAGAATTAACAGATCTGGCAATCAAGATCTCCTAAGCATTGGTTTCCCCAACAGTCAAACTTGAATTATAAGAGATCTGGGGTTTTGGATGGGTAAACGAATACAAAACAGTTCATGGATGTTCAGCAAGTGACAAGCAAAGGCACCAACGCCCTACTGAGACGAGTGGAGTGATGGGTGCGCCACCACTGTAAGAGGGAAGCTTTCTGCAGACCAAGAGCCTCTCCAGATTTCAGGAAGTTGGCAACCATGTGTATAACATATAGGTTTTTTAAACAAAAAAGTCTTCAGTTTTTCTTAGAAAACTTTCTTTTCTTGTTCTAGAATAGATCTATTTCTACAATTAAGACCCTTGTTTAGGGCCATTTTTTACTTCATCATACTATGTAGATCAATGATTCTAGTCATGGCATTTTGAAAACAAGGGAAACCACAGTGTTAGGTAGATCAAAAATGATCTGACTCTAGTGACTAGAAAGACAAGTAGGATCAGAAGAACCAAACCCAAAAAGGCCACAACGAAAGCTGCTTCCCCTGTGTTTTTCAGAAGATTCATGTTTACCCCAGGTCATGACTCTGCCATATTTGTTGGCACATTTTATGGGTGGTGAATAGCAGCAGATTCAGAAAGCTCTCTGCCCTACCTCTATTTGTCCAAAAGCAGAACATACAATTTTTAAAGGCAAAAGGTATCCACCTACTCTAGAGAGAAATGGCTAACCACGGAAGATAACTTTAGATCTTTATCAACCTGGAAATTATACCAGCAGAATCAGCACTCACAGACTTTACTGACTCCTCTTTTGCT